GAGGAGAAGAAGGGGGGGAGGGGGAGAAGGGGGTACGTCAAAGTGGCAGTGCCACACAGCTGTGCAGCACTGCTGCTTTGAAACCCCAAGGTGGCATTCCAAAGGGGCAGCTGCCATGGGGCCCGGGGTCAGCTGTGCACTTCCCAGCTGACCCCAGGCTCCCCAAGGCATGCAGCACAGCATGAAGCCTGGGAGGACTCTGAGTCCCATGCTGACCCCAGGCTCCATGGCTTTGAAATGCCCAAGAGTCCCAACTGGGGACTCTTGTATATTTCAAAGCAGGCACACTGCCTGCAGCCCGGAGTCAGCGGGATTTTCCACTGGCCCCGGGCTGCATGCAGAGTTCCACATTCCTCCTTTGGAATGTACAAGAGCCCCAGTGGCTCTTTCAAAAGAGGAATGCAGAAGTGCCTATCGACTAGGTGAGTAGTTGATGGAAATTCCATTGACTACTTGTCAATTAACCACTGGTGTAGTAGGATACCTGTTGGCAGAGCTTCTAGCATGGTGGCAACAAAAATCCAGCTCCTCTAATTTTATTTAAAAAAAAAATGTGAATGCATATGGGCCTATGTCTGATCAGTGTTACATAGGCCCAATGTTACATAGTTACAGCTCCCTTCCAAATTTTAGTATTCAAAATTATGATTTCAAGCAGTAACTCTTGAACTGTTAAATTATTCAGCTAGCCAACAGTAAATGAACTCCATTCATTCTGGTTCTTACCTCTCCTTCTTTTTCCTACCCACACCCAGATTTTAGTAATTTTCTGGGATTTGTGTGGGATTTACCAATGGTGCTTTTTGAGCAATTTGTCAGGTATTCAGTGTCCCCCATGCAAACAAAGCATGTGGTTCCATTTCATGTCACTCTTCGACTTTCCCATCAACATGTTTAACTGATCGGGAAAAGTGAAGCCACTTGCAGCTTCCTGGCACATCAGTAGTTACAGTTCTTAAGTCAGGGGGAACAGTAAACTGGTCATTATAGATCACTCTGATAAAACAGGTACAGCACATAAAAAAGTTACAAGGTTAGCTGTGGCTGGCATTAATCCACCATAGAAAGGCGTGCAGAATTTGCCATTCATTTTTATGTTGTATAGACAGTAAGGTAATTGTGTTCCTGTGTACAATTTAGTGTTTCTTATATCTGATAAGGGTAATGGTTATATCAGGAAGGAAAACTTGTATGAGCAATTCCCACAAAGCAGTTATTTTAAACCAGCCTCCTCTGTACACTCTTACCAAATCTGACATTTTATAATCCAGATAAGTAACTTGATGGTGGCCGATACAAGACTGTTTGTTTTCCCCTTCAAGTGTGGAAAAAATGGTTTTGTCCTGAAATTTTCCCTGAAGTTCAAAATAAATAGTTATGCGCTTAGTTGCATTGATAGTAAAAATGAAAACCAGTTACTCAGGGTTAGTGGGCTGTGATCTGTGAATGTGCACAAATGCTGGAATACAGAATAAACATGAGTCTTGTTTAAGGCTGTTTTCACATTTTGCAGCTAAAAATCCAGTCTCGTTCATGAAAGGGGTTTACTTTTGTTAGATCTCCATCTCTATAATGACACACTCCGTTTAAAACGGTAACAATTTGCTATAACTTGCTCCTGTCTTCCATCCCACCCCCCAACCTCAAAAAGAGACAAAGAAGAAATTTTCACTTAGCCTTTGATAACTCTTCTTTCTTTTCATTCCAGATAACTTCAAACAAGAAGCACTCAGAAAGCCTGAAGAATGATGGTGACAGTCTTATCCACATTCTAGAGAGCTTGGCCCAAACTGCCAGGTGAGTTCCCTCAGGCTTTCAGGAATTTCCAGGGCTAAGAGCACTCCCCTCCCCTTTTGTCTGCTATGGTGTACTCTTGTAATTGCCTCATGTGCACTACAAGCTTCTCCTGTTACCACCCCTTCCCTCCCATACACGTCTGTCTTAAATTCTTTCTATTCAAAGCTTTCTTGATTTCTTTTTGTTGTTGCTGCTGTTGCGGTGTACTTTGATCCCAGATGTAGCTAGGCCAGAGCTATGTCATACAATCTTTTTTTTTTTATTGTTAATAGTTCACTTCTTCATAACCAGATACTGGTTTATTGTTCCCCTGCACAGTGTGCTGGCAGCACAACATGGCTTTGTGCCCTGTCTCAAAGTAATGGTGCCAGGAAAAGCAAAATGCTTTCCAGTGCTGAGGCGGACAAGAAGCATTCTTCTAAGAATGCTGGATGTCTTTCACCTAAGGCTTAAAACTAAGAGTCTGACCGCTTCTGAAAAGTACCTTGGCATTCTTTGTAAGGATAGAGGTGTTAGTCCCAGTGGGTTGGTCAAATGCTAACTCAGGTTATGACATTCTACCTATTGATTTCCCCTTGCATTCTCAAATTGACACATACTTGTTCTCTTCTCCTTAAAATGTTGTGCATTGTTACTGTGAGCTTTTAAGCCACATTTCCCGGCTGTGTGGAATAGTTCCCATGTAAAGTTTGTAGATGACTTTTTGCAGTGCTTTTGGGAATCTTTGTGGTGTCCTTTATGCACATAAATGCAAGCTTTAGATGAGCCAATGTAGTAGGCTCTTTTCAGGCATGGAGTTATGAAATTTGGCATCTCATCTCTAGTATAGCATAAGTTGTATTATTTTTTTGGAATGAGGAAGATGTTTAGGGAAGTGTAACAACCACTAGTACAGTGATGGAGGCATTTGTGAACAAATTGTAGGATAGAAGTGGTGTGAAGGAGACAAAATGTACCATAAATCAACTTTTCAAAAACCTGCTGCCACCCTAATGTATTTATTTAACTGCTGAGCTGTATTTCCTATTATCAACTACATTACCAGAGTGAAATATTACCTCCCCCTAAGAGACACTAGCACCACTAGCTAAAGAGACAGTGGCAAGTATTTAGAATTCCTTTTCCATCTTCATAGCAACATTATTCTTTAGTTAGTTAACTAAGGAATAATAATTCACTACTGAATTTTTCTTTTAACTCTTTCTAATCTGTCTTGACTTCCTCTAATTGTTTACAGTTTAAAACTATAGAAGAAATCAGGCACAACTGTTTATTTGGGGCTATCCTCAGTGCTCCTTGTTCCAGCAAGGAGCCCACCAGACCAAATCCTAAGAATTATAGAAGCTCCTATCCAGCCAACCGATCCCAAGGATAGTGAAACTGGCACAGTAAATGTGGAACAGTTCCTCAGCTGCCCCGTGGTCTAGCACTTCAGCAGCCACAACATGTCAAAGGGAGTTCGTGGAAGTAAAGTCCCCTCCCTGTTCACCCATTCTCTGTGGAATCTGCTTCTCTGGGACACCTGGAGGCTAATGCTCTAAGGGATGTAAAGGGTTAACTAGTTAAGCAGTTATCCAGTAAGCATCATCCTTACTGGGTAAGCAATTAACAGCTATATGGCCAGGCTGGCGCAGCCCCCCAGCCTGTGGCATGATGGGCCTAGCCTGGCCGGAGCATCCCATGGCATCGTGGGCCAGTTTTGGCTAGAATAGGGGGTGCTCCTGTCCAGCCAGGCCCTCCCTCCTGCAGGATCCTGGTTAACTGGTTAAATTTAACTTTTAACCGGTTAACTTTTTAAATGGGATTTTATATCCCTAGATTCTAAGCGGCTACAACTGTGGTGGAGCAACAGGAAAGGCCTGAGAATATGAGGCCTCTAAATCCCTTCAAAGAAGGTGCTTTTGAGTGTAGAAATTTCTGCAATCTTCTGTATAGTTTTCCCTTTTCCCCAAAATGTATGCTAGGATTGCCAGATAGTTTCACAAAAAATATTGAACATGGTTGGGGGGGGAAACCCAGGGGAACCAAACTTGAGCAAAAAACCCCCAAAAAACACCACACACAAAAAAGTCACTGCCCCTTTAAATACCCACACTCCCCTGCCCAGATGCAGCAGGGGAAGAATGGCCCAAGCAGCCTTCCGTCCAAGTATTTTCTGGGAGTTTTTACCGGACAGAAGCCGCAAATACCGGACACCTGGCAACCCTAATGTTTGCCAGTGCCCAATAACCTAGACTTCAGCTCCAATCTCCTTCTGCCCAACTGGGCTGTGCATCAGATTTGAAGCATTTCAGGGAAAGCTACTGCTAAGGTCCTGGTCTTGCACCTTTTTTCTAAGTTGCCTAAATTTAGCTGCCAGACCTCTCTCCTATATGTATGCACAAAATGTAGAATTACCTTGCAATTTTATACAGATAAGTTGTAGCCCTTTACAAAATCTCCTACTATAGTGGAGGAAATGAGGCCCCAGTAGGATAACATGAATGTCATGTTTAAATAGAGAGCAAAGCGTGCTTACGTATTGTCCTGCTGCCTCATAGAAAACTCCTACAGCAGTTTTGCCAATCCCTTTCACTGCTACATCCTTAGTCAGTCAGGACACAGACCAGGTAGGCCCACACAAAATTAGTTTTGTTTGTTCATTTCACACTTCAAGATTTGTTCTCTTTGGCTATTCACTTTTTCAAGTCAGAGAATGAAATAATTTTAAAAAGATATTTAAGTAGTAAAGCTTCTAGTTTATACTGCTGCTCAGTCAGAAACACCAACTCCAGCAGTGTGATTAAATACATGTTCTTGGTTTCAGCTTTTGACATGCAGCAATTGAATGACTAAGGAACTAATAACAGACTTTTATAGGGCAGGAAAAACTAAAGGTCAAAGTAGCCCATTGTCAGTCATTGTTTCTCAAGATCAGCAGTGCTTTGTGTGTGAACACCTCATCACAGGGTGGCTGACTGTTAGCAGATATGAAAGGTAGCAAACCACCCGCACTCACTGAGGCAGTGAACTGGCGGCTGTTCTACATGCCAGGGAAAGACTGAACTAAGTTATGCAATTCCAGTTATGCGAAGAATGTCACTGAAATTGACAGTTTTGATGGGAAACACTCTCCTGTTCAATTCCCCTTGCATGTCTCATTCCAATGGAGTACTGGATCTGATGCAAGAGCGGTCAGTTTATCAAGTCTACATTAGACTCGATAAATCGACCCTATCAGCTCGATCACTGCCCAGTGGTGGTGTAGAACAGTGTTTCCCAAATGGTGTTCTGTGGAGTGAAAATAAGGGTTCTGTGAGAAAATTCCATTACAATAATATTTTATGATTTTAAAAATATGTAATTTGTTTTTAAATATGTGCAATTAAACTAAATATTGATCTCATGACCTTGTTTATTGTTATTGTTCCTTATTTGTGGTGTACTTTTTCAGCTCCATATACTAGACTGAGGTTCCGCAAAATTCTTTCGAGTTTAAAAGGGTTCTGTGGCCAAATAAAATAGGGAAACACTGGTGTAGAAAGTGCAATTAGAGAAATTCTGCCTTTCCTGGTAGCTTAAAAAAAATAAACATCTGCTGAAGTATCTATGACAGACTCTACCCTACAGGAAAACAAAGATTTGAGGCAGTTTCCCACCAAACTATTGAAGAAATGTAGTAATTACGTCTTCTCATTTTCAGAGTGAGACCTAGCTTGTCACTAGGCAAGCAGTTCTGTAAATATGAACTCAAGGGATCATGCCGATACATGACTTGCTGCATGCTGAAATTTTCATAGTATTCAGCTACTATATAACAGAAGATTGGTTTATGTAAGAATTATCTAAAGTGCATTCCGTTGTCAGTCACTTTCTAGCACAGGGGAAAGTCTTGTGTAGGACAACTACAGAATTTAGATGAGGGGCCTGACTGTGCAAGATTACTTTTTTTTTTTTCCCTCCTCAGCTCCCATGCCGATATTGCTGTTACTACTTTGGCTTTTGAAATTCTTAGAACAGTGGGACACTAAAAGATCAAGGCTACCAGAGCAATCATCTCTCCACACTCCTGGCTGAAAGTATAAAACACTTGCATTGGTGAATTCCTCAGTCTTGTTTTGGATATTTATGAATTAATGTTGTAGTCCTAATTTGATAATTAAAACTGTGTGTATATTCACTTTCTTATGTATTTAAGAATATGGAAAAAGTGGGGAAAATGTTTCAAAAGAACAAGCATTTGTCCTTTATCATTTTGCATAAATTAGCACAATATATGGGGAGGGGGGAGATGACAGTTTTTACAGCTATGTTTTAAAGAACTCCATCTGAATTGTGATGTAGCTTCAAAACTTTTGATCAGCAAGAGAATGGCTTAGCTGAGCAGCCTCATGCGCAACATCACCTATAACAAACTCTAGAATTCTTTTGCACATGTAAAGATTTCTGAAGTGCTTTGCAAATGTTAAATGACTCAATCTGCAGGGAGTTGGTATCGTCCTCATTTACAGATGGAAAATGAGCACAGGGAATGAGTGATTTCTAAATGTCTCAAAGTTTGAGATGAAGCCAGGAATAGAACCCAAATCTTCTGGCACCTACTCATGTATTTGAAAGCATTTTGCAAAGCCAAATAAAGTCGTCTAATTAAAATAAATGACTTCATACGTGTATATTTCAATGATTAACAGTTGCCCTAAACATAAGTAAGTCAGACTGTGGCAATTTTCTTAAAACACAATCTGGAACATACTTAAGTATAGTAAAATCAAACAGATGACCAAGCTACCTCTAGCAGATTTGTTTGGAAGTTCTTCCACAAAGTTTATGCTTATTTTTAACAATGTTTACAATGGCAGTAACAGTTAACACTACTGCATTTTAAGTCACTGAATTTGTTTTTAGATTTGTTCTGATTTAAGTGACTAGAAGTCTGTCTTCAAAGGTACACAGTGACTGCTGAATGAATCATTAACCATAGTGCTTCATTGATCTGTTAAAGGAGAATGCCATTCCAAGTGCTTCACTACCCCTGCTCAAAATCAGCCACTCTCCATGACTTAAAGGTAGCCTTCCATCCATAAACTAGTGAACATGTAGTTTAGGTCTTGTGTTCTCAATTCATACATAGAGCCCTGCAAATCCACATCTGTGGCTTATTTTTGCAGATACACATTTTTCTAGACCTACAAATTTGTGGATATCTGCTTATATCCATACATCTCTGCTTCTGTGGATCACTTTTTGTGACTATGGCTGCAGCTAGGGATACACATTTTTCATCTGTGCAGGCTCTAATGCAAATTACATGCTGTCATAAAAGTCACCCTGCAAGGGCATGCACATTGGTAAATACCTAACATTTGAAAATCCTGACTAGTTGGTACCTATTATAGGTTGGACCTGACTAGTCCCAGATGATGGATTTTGCCAGTCATTTCTGCCCCCTGCTCCTGCCACCTGCCCCTACCTCCCTTGCCAGAGTCCTCATTTAGAGAAGTTCAACCTGTAGCATGTGTCTGCATTTATGTGGATTTCCCTTGTGTTGTCACTTCATTTTTTAAAACCTATCCTATTTATTATAGTTATTAAAAGATCATAGCAAAAGTTAATTTTCAATCCATCTAATTAGACCTTACACTAATGTGCATTGGGCTTAAGTTTGCTACTTCTGCAGGCTCAAGGATAGTGTCAAGGCCATAACCACAAGCTGTGGTATAAAGGCATGGCTTTTCTCATTTCACACTGGTTGGGTTTACTGCTGAAGCCTGTACTAGGTGCCCCAACTGGATTGAAGATTCAAATTGCTGCTACTGTTATTGTGAATATGTTTGCCTGTAATTCTGTGGCCATCATCCCCATACAAATAAATGAGAAGCAACAGGTAGGCCCCAACTGGGTCAAGGTTTTTGCATTAAACAGTAGACTCTGAGGACAAACTCAGTCAGTGCATGCCCTGTGTGTCAATCTTCTATAACTGCTTCATAAAAAAAATAAATAAAGCTACTGTTGGGTTGAGTGTTTTTTAAATGCACATGGGAGCTGGTACACGTGCCTCCCACATTAGCAACTGTTTTGTAGACAAGATGGAAAGGAATGTAGAAGTCTAATCCCTTGTTTCCATGGGTTTAGAATACATCCTGATGCAACCTTAAATGTAGCTTGTTAGTTGCCCCCCTTCCCAAAATACATCTGTAGCCTACCACCTTCAAGGGAGCTACAGGTATCTGGGAATTCAGAGAAACTGACATTGAAACATACCTGCTGCGGGAGATCAAGGAAATTCAGAGAAACTGACATTGAAACATATCCTTGATCTCCCGCAGCAGGTAATGTGCTTCAATAAACTGTAATGTTTTAATCTAGTGTCAAAGACATGCTTTTACAGCTTGTGTTAAGAGCTAGATTCTCTCACAGAAAATCAATCACAAACATCAGCCCCTATAAGGCACAGGGTGAGTTACCCTGAAAAGTGTTCAGTGAGACTAAAGTCATGTAAGCTTGAGAAAGTAAAAGTCTTCCTATCACTTGGCTTGAAACCATGCAGTTTCCCTTCTCTGCTAGCTATCTGTGTCAACATTCCCTGTAAGCTAAGCACTTGTGTGGCTGCTCACAAGAAATTCAAATTCTGCACAGCTGATAAACAGACTCACAGCTAAATTTTGTGTTTCTATTGACGGTACAGTCACATGCCTCTATGCACAAAATTTATTCAGCAGATGGAGGGATAAAGGTTAGACGGCATGATAGTCAACACCATAGTTCATACTTGTCCCTAACCACCAGGACTGCTATGCTATCCCTTCCTCTTGTCAGTTGGCTACTGGAGGTTTTGGCTCAGTTTTACACATTTACTAGTTGGTATTTTGGCTCTAAGAAAGATGTGCGCTAGCTGGAAACACAGCGGTTAGTAATTAACTATATACCCATACAATCAAAGGCAGCTAGCCGTACCCATGGCAAGCTTGCTTAAGCTCTTTTAATTAAAACAAAGTAGCGCATTCAGCAGTTTAGACTTAACTTGCAGGAGAGGATGCACAGCCTTAGTGAACAGTAAGAGATTGACTCAAATGGGTTTGTGAATACAGATGCTAGAGTAAGAATTGACCCATCTGGCTCAAGCTGAGAAAAAGTGCGGTGGAGGCAGGGGAATTTAGCATCAACCGCATGTGCTGACTCCACACAGAGGAAGGGAAAATGCAACAGGTACATACTTACAGACAGTAGGGTGGGGCTCATGTGTGCTCTTTAAATTTATACTGTAGAAGGGAGTGGTGCCTCTGTCAGAATTACAATAGCAAAGGACATACTGTAGAAGGCAAAGCACAGTGAGCCATCTATGAAAAGATTTCAAAAAATAAGTATTTTAACTCTTACCTCACTTTCAGACAAAGACAGAATATTTTTACTTTTTTTTTTTTTTTAAAAACTACTCTTTACCTGGAGTAGAGCACCCACAGAGAGAGCATTTGAAGAATCAGTTTATTCCTACTACACTATTAGAAGTGTCCATAGCAGAGACTACTTGCTTCTTGGGGTAGGCTATGTATCTACTCTCAGATAACAGTGCACAAGAGGCAAAAGCCACCATTTAGTCATAGCCCAAATGGTTGTGGAGGCTGGTCCTTAACTGGCAGAGGTTTGGGGGGTGAGGGGAACCCCTTAAAGCCAGAAATGATTTGACACTTGTTTCAGGACTGAACTGGTGTTATAACATAAACAAAGTAGCAAGATTTAATTCTGCAGTGGCAAGTTAACTCTCAGGGGAGTACTGTAAATATTTTACTTACTCACACTAATTCTGCCAAAAGTCTCTCAGTGATTTGATCAGCAGCAGATTGGTTTTATTTTTCCCTGTAGTTCAGTCCTGCTTGGTTGTGCCATGCTGCCACTACTGTGCAACTACTAAAAATTGCTGCATGAAGTTAGTTTTTTTCCCATTTCAAAGACTCTGACACAGCTTGGTGAATTAAAAGTTTACTTTAATTCTTAACCATTTTTATAACTGCTTTTGCTCATGAAGCATCTGTATCACAGCAGGCTACAATAACTTTGGGATAAAAGGCAACTGGTAAACTGTCCAATACAAGGTTCCAAATAAACAAACAGTTCTTACTGGCCCCTACCCAGACACATCCCAGATAAAGTTTTTGATCAAAAACATGAAATAGATCCACCTGCTTATTTTAAGCATATTAAAAAGGAAACTAATTGGACCATTTCTATTTCTCTATTTTTATACAAAAAGGCTACACAATGTTACACTTTATTCAGAATACAATTAGTGATTATGAATTAGTGTTCTACACCATTACTGGATCCTTAAAAGTTAGAAACTGCTGTAGCATATTCACTATAACTTAACACTACAAGAGACTTAAAAAAAAACCCCTAACAGTTACAGCAAAAAGAAAAAAAGTCTACTTTCAAAGCAAGCAAGGTCAGTACCATTACAGAGATTTAAAAAAAAAAAAAAAAAAATTTAACAAGCAAGGCTAAGGTTTGATAAATTCCATCTTGTGATTCTTTCTTGTGCATTCTTCGTTTCTGAGTCACTCCCAAAATCCATTTGTATTATTACTCCTCGACCAAAAAGGACCAGAACAAAAAGTTTACTTCAATTGTTCCCATAGGAAACTCAGCTTGGTTAGTGTGTCAGGCACTTTCTGAGATACTAGCCCACCCCTCGAGCCCTCTCAGCAACTCTACAGGCCAATCACAATGCAAGTTCATTCAGACGATACAGCTGTGTAGGAAGAAAAACAAAGAACTGTCAGTGCTGTAGTTATTTGCCCACATGTTAAGATTGCATAAAGCTGGAGCACAAGACACTGAAGTTAATCACTTCCACACTTCACAGCAGGAGTCAGTTCGAGTATGAGCTTCAAGATACTAAAAAAGTTCAGTATTTTGATAGAGGTGGACCCATTTAAGCCATTCCCTCCCTGCCAACCAAGTCCTCAGTTCAGAAGGTAGGTTGTTTTATTCAAGTTTTGAGTTTGAACTTCTTACCTAAAGGATGATTTACAGGTCAGTATCGAACCAGGCCAACTGATTACTGTCACCTGGAGGCAGCCCATCCATAAGATCCTGGGCATGTCCCAGATCTGGCAGCCCATCAACTGGGTAGTCAGCACCAGGGTGGTGGCCACCCATTTCATGCTCCATCATAGGGTCCATACCCAAGGCATCCTGACCATATCCGCCAGAGTGGAAAGAACGGTAGCTAGGATCTAAGAGTTAAGGGTGGCAGAGGGGGGGGGAAAAAGGCAGAATGTTAACAGATGTTAGATGCATCAAAAGCCGCAAATATCAGCGTGAGCAAAGATAGTTGTAGCCATCTAGTTGCTTCTAGCTCAGCCAAGCTGAACGCACAATTTATTACCTGGTCTTAATAACTATCCCTCTGAATAACAGCCTTTCAGTGTGACTCAGCAGACAAAGCATACTGCAGTCAAAAGCATAAGCAAATTCCAGCCAAGCCATTAGTCTGCATACACAGTACTGAAACCCAACACACCAATATTGCAAGAGAACAAGCCTGCTAACTGCAGATTTGCTTCTTACATTGCTAGTCAAAACAGCTTACCATCCTTAGAAACAGACAGTGTCCTACAAATCTGTAGAGACTATCACCACCTAGCTTTGTTTTAAAAGGAAAACTGCAGTTTAATTCATATTTTGAATAAAAACTGGGAAGTTTAGAAATACCCAGTGTTATTTTTCATAGAGAGAAGCTGCTCATGCAGACTTCCCAGGACAAGGACCATCAATTTTCTGTTAAGAGGTAATCCAGCTCTGGGACCTGGATGTTGCCAAGCTAGTTATTACTTGCTACTGAAGAAGGCAGTTTCCCATCTGACTGCCAATTTGCTGTATTGAAGTAATTTGCTTTTCTCAACTGGCATCTTCTGTATTACTTGCAGTTCTCCTTTAAAAGGCACTGATTTAACTGGGCTTAAGTTTTCTAAGAAGTGACAAATGCAGACATACCATCTGGACGGTATCCAAGAGGCTCTCCCTGGGCACCAATATCAAGTCCAAGATCTGCAGTCTAATGAAGGTGGAGAGTGGGCAAAATAGTAAGAAAGGAGGGAGAATAAAAAAGAAAAAGTTGAAATAAACAGGCTTTATTTGGGTCAGTTGTACTGTACTGCACGCAAGTAGTTCTTTCAACCTCAATACTTAAGTTTGTAAAACTTCAGGAAACCTAACATCCCTATTGGAGATCCATCTTACAGTGGACTGTCATCAGGTAGTTGACTGGAGTATTAACCTCCA